TAGTAGTAGTAGTCGTCGTCGTCGTAGTAGTAGTAGTAGTAGTAGTAGTAGTAGTAGTAGTAGTAGTAGCAGTAGCAGCAGCAGCAGCAGCAGTAGGCAGTAGGAGGAGGAGGAGGAGGAGGAGGAGAAGAGGAGGCGGAAGGAGGAGGAGGAGGAGGAGAAGGAGGAGGAGAAGGGAGGGAGGAGGGAGGAGGGAGGAGGGAGGAGGGAGGAGGGAGGAGGAGGAGGAGGAAGGAGGAGGAGGAGGAGGAAGGAGGAGGTTGAGTCGGAGTGAGAGCGATGCCCTCCCCTGTTCTCAGACCGCCGTCTTCAGCTCTTAGCAGGTTGGCCTTTCCTTCGGAGGCCTGGGCGCAATGCCTTCTGCATCACGTGGGTGATGGCGCTCTGGGCACCAACCAGGAAGCCCAGTGCATAAACATGCATGTGTGGATCTCCGCACAGGTCCGAGAGATTCCGCGCAGAACTCCGACAGCCTGTGTGCATGCTGTTTCCCGCCTGCAGATCACCGTGGCCATGGCGCTCTGCACAGGGACGCGTGCCTCTCCGACAGCAGGCGTTCCAGTTGAGGGGCCCCGCCAGCCTCGGCGCGGGCAGCCCCCGTGCAGCACCCCAGGGCGACGCCCCCCCTGGGAGGCCGGAGCGCCATGCCTGCCGCGTCGCGGTGGTCACGGCGCTCGGAGCAGGGGCACGATGGAGCTCTACTTGGAGGTTCCCAGCCTCCGACGGCCCAAGAGGCCCCAAAGGTCGCCGCAAGATCGCCCAACAAGATGGCCCCATGACGGCCCAAGAGGCCCCTCAAGACGGCCCCAAGACGGCCCAGGAGGCCTCGAAGACGCCCAAGATAGCCTCCAAGACGGCCCCGAAGCGCCCCAAGAGGGCCCCAAGTCGGCCCAGAGAGGCCCCCACAGCATCCCAGCTCCAATCCCACCTCGGGAGGTCCACGCGCCATGCCTGCTATACCTCGTGGCGGCCACGGGGCTCTGGAAGGAGACTGCGCTTCCACGACGACAGGCGTGCTGCCTGAGCGGTCCTACTCGTCTGGGCGCGATCCTCCCCGTGCAAGGTCCAGGTCGACCAACCCTGTGATGATCATAGGGCTCTCCAAGAAGGCACGTAGCTCCAAGAAAGCAAGCCCTCTATCTCAGAGCTCTCACCACTCTGGGCGGGAACGGGCCCGTACAGACACCCCAAGTCGACCTCAATTGGGTGGCCCGTGCGCAGTGGCTGCTGCATCACGGTGACTATGTGGCCCTGAAGGGAGACACGTGGCTCCCAGAAGACAGGCGTTCTACCTGAGAGGTCCCACCGATCTGGGCGCAAAGTGACTCGTGCAACACCCGAGGTCAAGCCCCTCCCTGGGAGGCCCGATCGCCGTGCATGCTACATGACGTTGCCCATGGGATCTGAAAATGGTACAAGCGGCTCCCCTCTGAACAAGCGTTCGCCCTGAGAGGTCCCACCAATCTGTGCGGGAATGGGCTCGTGCAATGCCCAGGGCGGAGAATGACTGAGTCCGAATATGAGTGGGTCTGTGTGTGAGTGAGTCTGAGTGTGAGCGAGTCTGGGTATTAGGGCAACTGGGTCTGAGCTGGTCCGAGTTTGCGTGGGTCCAAGTATGGGTGGGTCAGAAGGTGAATGCAGGACGGGGCTAGGACGAGGAGAAATCCGTTTTAGAGCTTTCCAGAACGCTCTCAGAGCATTCCTGAACGCGCTGAGAAGGCCGCGGCGCCCGAGAGCCGCCGGATCTCAGAGATTCTCGATTCATCTTGGCACGATGTACTCATCGTCCTGGCTTCGTCTTGCTGAAGGGGAGTGGGTCAAACCGTGAGCGCTCTGGGTTTGAATCTATGTCTGGGTGGACCACGGATTCTGACGGCGAGGGGAGGCGGGAAGGTGGAGGAGGAGGGGGAGGCGTAGGCTATAAAGCCTCCGCCTCCCAGCCTGCGATTACATTCGCCAGGGTATTACAGCGCCAGTTTTAATACATGCTCCGCGTGCGGATCATGTATGACAAATGCAGGGATTTAGTATCAAAAACAAGGACGAGTTCATGCATAAACCTATTCATCGAAACTAATTGCCCTAGCCAGCTCAACCTGCCAACCCGTCCAACCAGCCAGCCAGCCCACCCAGCCACCCCGCCACCTAACCAACCCGTCAGCCAGCCCAGCCGCCCACCCCGTCATCCCGCCAGCCAGCCGATCCCCTCCGCCTGCTCTCCGTTCCGTGCCCAACCAGCCACCCTGCCAACCCGCTCTCCCCCGCCGCCTGCTCTCCGTCACCGCCGAGAGGGGGGGGGGGGGAAGTGTTTCTAGCGAAAACCAGAAAACTAGCCCTCCCGGGGACTGGCGGGACAGCGGGGAGGGGGCAAATCGCACCGTGCTATGCAGGACCGGGAATGGCGGGGGGGGGGCGCCCGGCACGGTTTTGGGCCTCAAGTGTGTAACTGTCGTTATTTTTCAACGTCCACCGCGCCCTCTTTCTCAATGGGAAGGCTCCCATCCTTGAACTGTCGCCAATTTTGAGGCCCCGCGCGTGGCTTCTCAGAGAGCCGCCAAGAGGCCCCAGGAGGTCTCAGGAGGCATCAGGAAGCTCCAGGAGGCTTCAGGACGTCCCCAGAGGCCGTGGGAATCCTAAGGAGGCTCCAAGACGCTCCAGGAGGTCCCAGGATGCCCCGCGAGGTCCCACAAGGCCCCAGGAGGTCCCATCACGCTCCGGGCGTATCCTGAACGACCCAAAAGTTCCAGAACGCTGCGGACGCCCCTGGAGGGCTGAGGATACCCTAGGAGAGCCCAGGAGGTTTCAAGAGGCCGCAGGAAGTCCCCAGAGGTTGCTATCCCAGGAGGCCCCCAGGATTACCAGGAGGCTCCATGAGGTCCCATGGTCCATCACGCCCGAGGTAGGGAGGGGGAGGCGGAGGAGGAGGAGGACGTGGAGGAGGAGGAGGAGGAGGACAAGGAAAAGGAGGAGGAGAAGGACGAGGAGAAGGAAGAGGATGAGGACGAGCATGATGAGGAAAGGATGAGCAGGGTGACAGCGTGACGCCCCAGCAAATACACTTGGTCCAATTGGTTTCTACCCCCGTGAGGGGCGTTACATGGTAAATTAACCATGTATGAAAACATCCAATGTTTTTTTGCCATAGAAGCCCCCAGCGTGGCCTCACTTAGGTCCTCGGTTTTTGCATTCGGGATCATCCATTTTGGCGGTTTGGCCTGACACATCTGCAGACAATGATTCCTTATCCCCAATGTTCTTGGCCCTCCCAACTTAGGTCACCTCCGAAGGGTTAGGGGGTACTTCCAGTGCTGATCAACCAAGTTGGAGGGCGGGCGGGGGGGGGGGGGAGACGCCAGGGAGGAAGGGGAGCGACAGGGCGGACAATGGAGGAGGGCGGGGATGAGCGAGATGGACAGGCATGAGGAGGCAGGATGAGGAGGCAGGGAGGAGGAAACGGGAGGATGACATGAGGAGGAGGAGGATGATGAGGAGGAGGATGAGGATGATGATGTTAATGATGGTGGCGACGACGATCATGGTGACGATTATAGTGTCGATGATGATGCTGCTGATGATGAATAGGAGGTTGAGGAGGAGGAGGATGAATAAGAATAATAAGAGTATGATGCTGATGATGATGCTGTCGCTGATGATGATGACGATGACGATGATGGTGCTGATGATAATGATGCTGATGCTGATGATGCTGATGATGATGATTATGATGCTGATGATGCTGATGATGATGGCGATGCTGATGTTGCTGATGCTGCTGCTGCTGCTGATGATGATGCTGATGTTTCTGATAGTGGCACCGATGATAATGCTGAAACTGATGAGGAGGAGGAGGAGGAAATTGCTGCTGATGATGATTTTGATGATGACGACGATGATGATGTTGTTGCTG